TCAGTGGCAGTTTCTTTCCTCTCACTGGTTCAAATTCTCTTACCATTCTGGATTTGACTAATAACAGCTTGTCAGGTCCCATCCCTTCCACTCTAGCCAATTCTAGAAACCTCAGTCGTCTCAGACTTGGAAAAAATTATCTGACAGGAAACATTCCTCCTGAATTTGGCCAACTCACCGAGCTCAACTTTCTTGATTTATCATTCAACAATTTAACAGGAGAGATGCCACCTCAGCTCTCAAACTCCAAGAAAGTGGAACACATCCTGATGAGTAACAACAGGTTGAATGGCAAATTACCTGTTTGGTTGGGAAGGTTAGAAGAACTTGGTGAGCTAGATCTCTCATACAACAACTTCAGTGGGAGGATACCTTCTGAGCTTGGTAACTGCTCAAAATTGCTCAAGCTTTCTCTTCATCACAACAATCTCTCCGGTGAAATCCCCCACGAGATTGGAAACCTCACTGCCCTTAATGTCTTCAATTTGCAAACGAACGGCTTCTCTGGCGCCATTCCTTCAACAATTCAGCAATGCACAAAACTGTATGAGCTTACGCTCTCAGAGAACTTTTTAACAGGTACCATACCAGTTGAGCTAGGAGGGCTTGCTGAGTTGCAGGTGATATTGGACTTGAGTAAGAATCTCTTCATTGGTGAGATTCCACCATCTCTAGGAAACCTCATGAAGCTAGAGAGACTCAACCTTTCTTTCAACCAACTCGAAGGAAAAGTTCCTCATTCGCTCGGCAAACTCACAAGCCTGCACGTGTTGAATCTCTCAAACAACCATCTTGAAGGCCAGATTCCTCCAACATTTTCGGGATTCCCACTAAGCTCATTTCAGAACAATAACGGCTTGTGCGGTCCACCACTGGGATCATGCTCAGAATCCACTGCACAGGGGAAAATGCAACTATCAAACACACAAGTGGCTGCAATCATTGTTGCCATTGTCTTTACTTCCACAGTGATATGCTTAGTGATGCTGTACATCATGCTTAGGATCTGGTGCAACTGGAGAAAAGTGGCCATTTCAAGTGCAGAAGGTGGCACTATTGCTCACAAGGCAAGGAATGGAGAGTATTGGAATATGAATTCATTTGAGTTGATTCCTTCACCAGATAAGCAGAATTCAGCAACAACAACTTCCTTCTATAGTCTCAAAATGGAAACCATGGAAAATACAAATATGTAACATATTTTCATTAGTTTGAGTTCCAAGCTTTGAGGTAACAATTTTTATATCTCACCGTACTTGCACATCTTCCAATGCTAACATCATTTAATTTAATAGAATGGCTTCTTGATTCAAAAGCATGATGCCCTGCCGTGTTATGTGGGAGCGGGAATTCTTCAAGAACGAGTGTATCATTTCTAAATTAATTTTTATTTATCTTTTCTTATTTCTCTTTACATTATGCAATGAAATTTATTAGTTTGACAAATAATAAAAACAAAATAAAGAAAAAAGAAAAAAAGAGAGTAATATTGTAGAACACGTACCCAATCACCACGAAAATGGCACGTGAATGCTCCTCCATCTTGACCCTCCATGAAAATATCTTCTTCCATTTCATTTCTCCATTGATTATAGAAGTATGTTATTCCGTAAATTATCTTTTAGGATAATAGTAATCAACAACATTTGAAGTATATAATTGTTTTCAAATAATTGAAAACTAAAATAAGAAAAATGTTACACCCTGATTTTAAAAGCAAATTATGACAAACCTTTATTTAAATTGTTTTCTTAAGTTTACATAGCAATATGAAAATTTGTTAATATGTTTAAAAATTAAATTTGTCAACTGCGTACATAATATTTATAAATTTTAGCAATTAGCAAAAGGTTAATAAATAATTTTAAATTCTTAAATCAATGCAAAAATATGAGTATACTCATTTGATTACAAATTACCATATTTTATAATTTTAAAACTGATAATGAGATTTAATTATTTTATTTGATGCTAAAGATAATTTTTTAGTCTCATACTTTAAAATTGTTCATTATAATACTTTTATTTAATATTTTAAATTCATTGTAGTCTTGTGATGAATTTAAACGGTAGACGTTAAAGAGAATTAAAAATGACATTTATAAATTTTAAGATACATGGAGAAAAAAATTAGAATATGTTAAAAGAACTAAATTAATTATTTTTATTATTATTATCATTAAAATTAGAAAGTTATTAAAATATATTCTAATAGATTATGAAGAAAAATTATTAATGATATAATATTATCATTTTTTCCCTTCTTATATTTTTACTTTTTAATAATTAAAATTTAATTAATTATTAATTTTAAAAATATTAGATTAAAATTAATTGTGCAGTTATATAAAATTTTAAAAATAAAAATAAAATTAGATAAAATTTTAAAAATAAAAATAAAATTAGATAAAATTTTAAAAATAAAAATAAAATTAGATAAAATTTTATATTAAGGTAGTGTCTGCTCTTAACACTACTCTATCACAATATTAATAATAATAATAATAATAATAATAATAATAATAATAATAATAAATCTTAGTGTTAGATGATTAAAAACTCAATTTATAAACGATATAAAACTAATTCGTAGACCATAACTCTCCAATCGAGAATTAAAAACATAAGCCTCTAGTGTCACCCGCAATAGACGTCAATTCCCTTTAGAAACGGGAAAAAAAATCCTAAATAAGATCTTTAACACTAAAGATGTCTTTAAGGACTGCGTTTGAAATGATTGTACTATCATGAGCAAACAGAATAATCAAAGTTTAGTAAGAAAATCGAAAGACAAAATAAAAAATTAATTGCTTAGATAGAGATGAAAGTTCAACATATTCGAAAGATTAAATATACAAAGCTTAATTGCTTAGTTAGAAATGAAAGCTCACCGTATTCTATACATACCCAAAAGGTGATCGATCCTGTGGCTCATTTCTATCTACATATGTGCGACCTACAGAGATTGGACTATGACATGTACATAGGCATCCTTTCTGGGCAAAGAATCCAAGCTACATCACAAGAGGTAAAGCTACACTACATTTTTTTCTTTCCATAATTCAAGGGACTCTATGCTTCTGTCCAAAGTTTATCATACCAAAAAGTGTATCATACTCACTCTGAGCTTTCTGAATTTGGCTTTTAAGCTGCGTAACCTGTACAAACAATAGATTTGCATTTCTTCAGTGAACCTAAAGTTAACAATTTTTCATTTTATGCATTTTCATTCTATGCTATATTGAAAGCTACTTAGCATTAAAAATAACTAAAACAATTCCACCACCTTCTTCCTAACATCCCCTCACTTTGTCGACAGAAGACTATTCCAGATTGTGGGTTATCTAAAGAGAGTTATCTAAAGGAAGCATCCCAGCACTCATAATCCTCAAAAATAAAACTAGACTAACAGTGGGATTCTGGCAACTGGACTACACAAAGTAATGAAACAAGCATAAGTACTCTATACAAAATTACCTTAAGATTAAGTTCTTCCACTGCCTTTTCATATTCCAAACATCTGTGTAAGGGAAAAAAAGAGAAGATAAAAAACAAGGGCTTTGCTTCATAGTGTTTCCATGTGATAATTAAGTGAAGGCAACTTATTAATGTTCCTAACGACCAAATCAGATAGGATATCACAAAAATGTTGCGATCCGTATAGTTTGTACAACAGCATTTCATGAGATCAAGTATTTTCAGCGACTAGTTATCTAGTAATTAGAAATGTACGCACCGTTCTAAGAGGTTTTTGTTCACTTCCATCAAATTTATCACTCCTTGGTCTACAGTCTGGTCTGTAGGAGATGCAGTATTCTGCATAAAAATCAAGGGTGAAGTTGGCACTTGGCATTAAGAAATATATCAATGATTTACAATGAGGAAGTATGAAGACCAACACAAACAAACAAATCAATAAAAATGTCAAATCTTAAATGAGTAGTTATTCAATTCTAGAATACTACTTCATGTAGCATAAAAATTAAGAATAATTTAAAATTTGTATCAGCGTACTCTTCACATTGCCTTTTGGCTTTAATATGTAAAAGCACACTACATTTTATTCTTACGTAAACAAATTGGTCCACATTCCGAAAGTTTTAAATTTGGTCCCTACATTTGGACAATATTTTTGTTCATTTCCTATAAGAAACTTGTTTGCTTTGTTTAGGTTCTTGCATAATACATTTTTAAATTCCTACACTTGACACACTTACGTTTTAGTCCCTATTGAATATAATGATAAATTAGCATACAAATTTTGAACCTTTTTCCAAATACCAAAACATGTCTTTATTTGGGGTCATTAGACTACCACAAGTATACAAGTTGGTAATCAGCCTACTTCCATTCATCTCTTTCTGGTTCAGCAATGTCAAAAGCCTTCTAGCCAGTGGCCATGCTTCCATTCAATCTCTTTCGTGTTTTATATTCTCAAAATACCCATCTTCCCTCTCACATTCACAACCTTACTTTTTTGTAGATTTTATGGAAACTAGTTTTCACAATACAGTTATGTTATGATACATTACATTTCCACAATACAATTTTGTTATATGTTATGAAAACTTGTCTCCGTAATGCATTCGAACATAACAATAACCAGTATTTGTAGTAAAAAAAAAAAAAAAAAAAAAAAAACTAAAACAGGCTTTCGGTGTAAAGGTCAAAAAAAGTAAGTGCAAATAGCATCTTCCAATCCTTAGTAAGATGGGTAGGGTCAAAATGATGGGTAGGGTCTACGTTTCTTTGAAGGATCAACTTTGGTGTCAACCTCCACGAGTAACTAATTGAAAACAGGTACGGAAGAAAACCACAAAACTGCTGACGGCCACTCAGTGATGACCAATGAGCTAGAAGTGGCCAAAAGGAGTTTTGAAGCAGCAGAGAAACCAAGTCAGATCAGCAGCAACAAGTGTCAGGAAGGCTACACATGCCAATGATGGAAGCAATGGACAAAACCCGGAGGATGCATGTAAATGGACCCCTAGTAATAACACCTAGATGATAGGCCAATAAACAATCTCTGGAGCAGATGGCAGAAGCATTGGACGACAACAGCATACCTGAGTCATGGTGACTGAACAACAGAGTTTCAGCACCAATGGAAACTGAACAACAAGACAACTAGGGTCGAATCAAAGCTTTGGCACCAACTTGAATCTGAATATTTCATTTACTTATACATGAGTTGAATATAGTGAAGTATCATTCAGATTCTGTAAATATCCTTGTATTATGATAAGATTGGACTCAAAAATAGTGAAAGAGTACTGAAACTACTTTAATTGACTAAGTCGAGATATCCTTTTACAGAGTAAGGAAATTTGTATAAAATAATGTGAAATTCAGAAAATGAAAATGGAGGACTGCTCCTAGCAATGGAGCCCCTGAAAACAGAAAAAAAAAAAAAAAAATGGAAGCTAACACCAAAGAAAAAAACCAGTTCTTTTCGATCGTAACCACCCTAAAACCAATTTCCCCACCCCCCCTTCCTCCTACTTTTTCTCTATCCTCTAATACTCATCCTCATGATTACCACAGATTCTCCAAATTCTCTCCCTCCCATTCACCCTTCTCCATGTCTTTCTGTTATTCTCCCTCTCTCTCATCACTTCCCACTCCTTTGTGTGTCTTATGTCCTTCACCCCTCTCATCCAACCAAAGGCTAGTATTTGGGAGCCCATTCTCCTTTCCATTCCTTCTTCTATAGTATAAATAATGGGCATATCGTATTATTTCCTCGTTTACCCAGTTTCCTTAATTAGTTATTCTCCCCTGAATTCGGTGATGCTAATCAATGAATTTTAGGGATTGATCCTACTGGTATTGAATTATTTGTATATAAATATTGAACAGTATAGTCAGATGATACCTCAAACAATGATACATTCAGATTTAAGTGTCCCAACAAGAAAAACAATCTAACACCATAATAATGTTGACAAACAATGAAGACTAATTTGTAAACATTTTATCATGTAGGGACCACAATTTTGAGTTCTTATACGTTCAGACTAAAGTGAAAAATAGCATTAAATGTACGGAATTCAATAGAACATTAATAATTTCCCCTATGCCATATAGTAACACAAAAATAATCAAGAACAAAAAAGGGAGAAGTTATATATTAAAAATAAAATTATTAGAAAACAAAGACTACTGTTTGAGTTGTATCAATGGAAATAGTGTAGAACACATCAAAAGCTACATACCCGTATGTTCGGATCAAATCCAGTAACTGTGGCATTTTCTTGCATTACATGTCTTTTCATTTTATGAAGGTCTATGGACTCATGAGTCTTCTTCCTCTTATTAAGAGGAGCACCTGAAGCGCAATAAGGAACTTTTAGTTGGATCAAAATCATTAAGCTAGAAGTAAAAATGTCATCTTTCCCATGTAACAGTTACCTTTTTCAGATCAGATGTGTGTTGGACATTTGTGCAAGTGAGCAACAGTTAATCAATGCAACTGGTTTTTCTATAATATATGATTTCCATGTAGATAAAATAAGTGAATACCTGGTGCTCCAGTTCTCCTTTCCGGATACCCAATAAGATGACAGTGATAATCCCTGGAAAATTTTAACAAGGGTCCTGGCATGTCAGATACGAACACAGAGAGGTAGTAGTTAATACTCTCAGTATGGATCCAACAACATAAAGAAATAGTCAAACTCCACTGCATCATCTACTTCAAAGTTATTTTATATATATATATATATATATATATATATATATATATATATATATATGAACATTAGCATAAACAATATACCAGTACTCGTATGTCATTTGCTTCAGGCGTAGTTCAAGCTTTTGAAACAGGGAAGTTCTCTCAAAATCTTGCTTATTATGAGTTGGCTCAAGATAATCTGCTCTCAAGATTCCTGCCAGAAGAGATAATTATCCTTTAGAAATCTTATATATTCCAAATATTCAGACATCAATTAGAACTAGATATTGGTAATATTGGTGCTTACCAACAACTCCTCTACCCACACTTTTTGAAATATAGTTCACAACCTGCCAAAATGGCTGCAAAAGAAACTTAGCAATCACATCACACAGATACCATATGGCAAGCCGTGCTTCATTAACATAGCTTATGATAGAATAACAATTCATAAACTAATAAAATATAACATTGAAAAAGAAATCACATGCATTAGACACACAAGTCTATTACAACAGTATTCTATAGCCATAATATGAAATAACAACCTTATGGAACTACACCACAAAGCTAGTAATTGTAGTTGAAGATCCTAAGATCTTATAAAGTCAATACTAGAATCTCATGCTTCACTCAAGTCCCATACCTTATTACAATTAGACTTGCACATCCCACTATGCTTGGCTACCTGTTATGCTAGGCACTCAGTAGAGTGGGACCAAGACACCTGTAAGCAGATCCTAATGAGGAAGAGATAACCAATTCGGTTACAAGGAGAAAATGCACCAGGAAACCATCATGGAGAATGAGGAATAAAATGTGATAGGGTGCAAGAGAGGGGTGGGGAAGTTTTGATGAATATTCTCTCCCTCTGATATTATTCTTTGTAATTTTCTGCCTTTTTGTCTCTGTTTCTTATAGTTTCCTTTTCTAGACCTAAATTACTGTTATGAAATTTTAATTCCTGGAATTCAATATCGAACTTTGCTAATATTTCCTTATTGCCATAGAAATTATAAGTTGATCATTACACTACCCTTTGTCTAATCCCAACCAAATGCTTCAATGTCGTGTAACCACCCAAGCTGCTAATTTACAACCGTGAGACATGGTGGAAAGCTATGCACGAATTGACACAAACCTTGAAAGAATCAGACTACAAGAGCTAGTTGCTATACTTCGAGTCCAAGGCCTCATAAACTCCACAACAGAATCGAGCTAGTTTCCAATATTAAATTCAAGTCTAGTACCTTTCCAACATAAGGATCCAATGTTGGATCCTTATACTCTGCTTAATCACACACCCTACTACCAAGTATACCCAAATACATAACTGCCATCAGTTATTTTCTCTGAATAATAGTCATCAAGGCAGTTTCTAATTATAATTCTAATAGAGAATTAATACAGAACAACTAATGTAAGGTAAGTAATCTTCTATCACATATTCCTATTCCTAATAATACATTACTAACTTCTAGCCGTAACTGCCAACATGAAAGTTATTACCATACAAAATTATTCAATACAATTATTATTGGTTCCCATCCCATCAATAAAATTATTTAAAATGCTGTGAGGTGGTTTGAATATAGGCAATTTGACAAACATGTAATGTCCATCTTAATTGCAATTTTGCCACTTTCCCAAGATGTAGAAGTAAAACATTTTTTGCACATAACCATAATATATTAGCTTTGAAAAATAACATTTGATATGCAAATCTGCACCTAATTGTTGAAGTCCAAGACAAGTCATTGGATGAAAAAGAAGCATGCGCTCAGCATTTCCCCCTTAGGCCCACAGTGTGGAGAGTTTGTATTGGGAGAAATAGAAGAAATGTAGAAATATGTGATAAGCTGGCAAAGAGAGAAGAAAAGGAGAGCTAGTTACAGATTTGTTTGGTTTTCATATAGTGAGATGATAAAAGAAAAGCTAGAAGCAAGAAAGAAAAGATGAAAGAATAGAAGGAACCCAACAGTGGATTATCAGAATAACATTGAGAGAGGTCAGAATATTGAAGTAAAATTACTATATTTTTACAAAAGCCAAAACTCAATTATTATATACTATGGTAAAACTCTTTCCAACGCACCGTTTAAACTGTATCGTTTCTAGAAATGGTTACTTTATTTATATCAATACCCTGCCCTAGAAAGAATCTTTGTCCTCAAGATTAAAATTAGGAAATTTTTTCTTTAAATCATAGAAGAATTTCCATGTCGTGTCTTCTGGTAGTTGTTGCAGCCTTCCTTCTGCGGCAACTCCATGTAAACTATTGCCTCCCCCACATGCTTCTTCAATTGTGTATGAAAGTTCTAGTTTATAAGCTACATTTCCTATCCTGTCCAAAATCTTGTAGGGGTCCATAGTATTTGGGACTTAATTTGGCATTAGGTCTAGAGATTACTGAAATTTGTCTATAACCTGTAGCTTCACGTAAACCAAGTCTCCAAGTTCATACGCTCTATTAAATCTGTTTATGTCAGTTACTTGCTTCATCCGTTCTTGTGCTCTCTTTAAATGAAATTACCTTCAGCATCTCTTCTCTTTTAGTGAGACTTCTGTCCACCAATTCTACACTAGATTCCTCAGATAGATAAGGTAATAAGAGGAACCTGACCATAAACAATTGCATAAGGTGTAGCCTTAATAACTATGTGGTATGTTGTGTTATACCACTATTCCGCTAAGAGAAGTCACTTCACCCATTTGTGGGGTGAATCATTACTCATACATCTCAAGTAGGTTTCCAAACACCTATTTACAACCTCCGTTTACCCGTCTGTTTGAGGGTGATAACTTGTGGATAGTTGGACTTCGCACCCAATGTACTGCCATAAATTTCTGCCAAAATTGGCTAACAAAGACCGAATCCCTGTCACTAGTTATAGTTTCAGGAAATCCATGTAATTTGAACACATGGTCTAAAAAAGATTGTGCAACATCCCTTACTGAATACGGATGAGTTAGGAATTTGGTAGTCCTTCAATGAAGTCCATGGTGATATATTGCCAAATAGTTTGGGGAATGGGCAAAGGTTGTAGTAGCGCAGGACTGACGGCAGTACTATACTTATTCTGCTGACAAATAGAGCAAAGTTGGATAAAATGCTTAATATCACTATTTAATCCCTTCCACTAAACCACTGTCTTTACTCTTTTCAAAATAGCATTAATTCCTGAATGACCCCCTTCAGCTGACGAATGTAGCCATTGTAAAAAAAAAATTCTTAACATCATATCGTTTCCCACTACCAATTTATCCTTCCTCCGCAGTGTTTCTCCATGTATAATGTTTGTGTGAATTAGTATTTCCCTATAGCTTTTTTATCATCTTTTGTAAATTTATGTCTATAAGCCATGATTGTTGTATTTGATTCATCAACTCAAATTGTAATTGAAGTGTAATAATTCTCTTGCATTCAACTGTTTCCATTTGTGAGAGAGCATTAGCTACTATATTGTCCACTCCTTTCTTGTATTCTACAGAGAAATCAAATTCCATCAATTTCACCAACCATTTTTACTGAAAATCTGTAGTCCGCATTTGGTCTAGAATACATTTTAGACTGTAATGATCTGTTTTGATTATAAAATACCTATTCAATAAATAGTGCTGCCACTTTTGTACTGCAAAAACTACTCCCAACAATTCCATTTCATATGTTTAATAGGCCTGTTGTTATTGATTAAAAGTTCGGCTAATATAGGCAATAGGATGATTGTCCTGCATTAAAACCGCCCCTGTCCCCTGTCCTGAATCATCCACTTCAACCAAAAACACCTTTGAGAAATCAGGCAGTGCCAAAACTGGTGTGCTGCTCATCGACTTTTTTAGTGCTTCAAAGGCTTCCTTGGTTTTGTTTGTCCAAATAAATTTGTCTTTTTTCAATATCTCTGTCAAGGGTTTAGCTATTACTTCATAGCCACTACCGCCACCTTAGCCAGGTCTGTAGACACTCCTTCTTTATTAATAATATGACCCAAATACTCCACTTGCTGCACCCAAAATAACATTTAGTTCTTTTAGCAAATAGAGTGTTTAATCTTAGAATTAACATCACCTCCTTTAAATGTTGTAATTGGTCTATCAAATTACTGCTATATATCAATATGTCATCAAAAAATACCAATAAAAACTTCCTCAAAAACTTGTGAAAAATAGTGTTCATTAAGCCCTGAAATGTAGCCGACAAACATTGTTTTCCGCACATCATCTGGGTTCATCTTAACTTGATTATACCCTACACGCAAGTCAATCTTTGAAAAAATAGTAGATCCTGCCAATTCATCCAACAAATCGTCTACTAAAGGAATGGAAAATTTATTTTTTACCGTTCCTTTATTCAATTCTCGGTAGTCCACACAAAGTCTCCACGACCCATCTTTCTTCCCTACAAGAACGACTGGACTGGCATAAGGGTTGCAGCTGTCCCAAATGACACCAGATTGCAAGTATTCTTATATGAATTTATCAATAATATCTTTCTAATTCTTAGCATACCTACCAGGTCTTTTGTTAACCGGATTAACTCCTTGCATGAGAGGAATATTATGATCATATCTTGGTCTAAAGGGTGGCAACTGCTGTGGTTCTCGGAATACATCCGCAAATTTTTGGTATTAGTGGATCCTCGTCGTCTTCCTTGCACTTGAAACTCCATTGTGAGTTTGTCAAAATTTCATAATGTATTTCATATATCGCAATTGAATAAACATGTGGGGGAGGCAATAGTTTCCACGCATTTGCCTTATCAAGCAGAAGGAAGGCTACAACAGAAAGAACCAGAAGCTATTTTAGACAGAATGACAATGAAGAGAAGAGGGATGACAGTTACCAAAATTCTTGTAAAATGGAAACACCAGCCGCCACAAGACGCGACATGAGAATTTTTCTATGATTTAAAAATTTTCAAATTTTAACTCTTAAGGACAAGGATTCTTTCTAGGACAGGGTATTGATATAAATAAAAGAACTGCTTTTAGAAACGGTGTAATTTAAGCGGTACGTTGAAAAGAGTTTTACCATATTATATAATTGGGTTTTGGCTTGTGTAGAAAATGATAATTGTGATTCAATATTCTTATCTCTCTCAATGTTATTCTGATAATCCACTGTTGGGTTCCTTCTATTCTTCCATCTTCTTTTCTTCCTTTTAGCTTTTCTTTCATCAATTGATATCAGTCGGTCCTTGTTGGGAAACTCACATGATAGACGCTACCCGTTCGATTCAGGCAATAAAAAACATGAAGGAACATATATCTCAAAGGATGGATGCTCGTTTTATGGAGTTAACTGCTTCATTGAAACAAACAATGCAAGAATTGGTTACGTACAAAACGGTTGAGTAATATCAATTTTTCAGTGATAATATGTCGTAGGGTGTACGTTCAACTCCAAATTATGTGTACGGAACACTGATGACACATATTGATTTTCCCATATTCAATGACGAAAACGTAAATCAATTAATACATCAGTGTAAAAATTACTTTCTCATTGATAATACCCCACAAGATTTCAAGACGAAGTTAGCAATTGTGCATTTGGAAGACAAGGCCTCGCAATGGCATACTGCTTTGGCAAAATCTTGTTTGAATTCTTTTGAACTGAATTCAAGAAACGCTTATGTGATCTATTTGGTGATGTGTGTGACGATCCTATGGTAGAGTTGATGCGTTTACGGCAAAAGAAATCTGTGGATGACTATCATGAAAATTTTGATTTAATTATTACCAGATTGAATCTATCGGAGGGATATATACTAAGTTGTATTTTGGGTGGACTAAAAAAAGAAATCGAAATGATGGAAAGAATGTTACAACACGTACGGATCTGGATTGGAACATCCTTACCATCATTTGGATTTCTTTTTTAGCCCACCCAAAAAACAACTTAATACATACTCCTTCGATAAACTTAATCTGGTAATAATTGAATCAAATTCTTCATGATAGTCATCCACGGATTTCTTTTGTCGTAAATGCATTACCATAGGATCATTACATACATCACAAAACCAATCATATAAGCATTTCAATGAATACATCAATGTAAAAATTACATTGATAATACCCCACAATTTCAAGACGAAGTTAGCAATTGTGCATTTGGAAGGCAAAGCATCACAGTGGCATACTCCTTTGGCAAAATCTTGTTTGAATTCAAGAAACGCTTATGTGATCTGTTTGGTG